CAGGAGTCGAACCTGGAATCTTCTGAATCGGCTGCATCGTAGGATAACTGTGGAAGAACCGCATAAGAGAAATGGCCCTGTACAATGCACCAACTGCCAGGAGTATGGTCATACTAGGTCTTACTGCACGCTTCGCTCAGTGTGCGTAGCTTATGGAGAGCTACATGTCTCCGCCATTTGCACATCAAACAAAGAAGACCCGCGTGAAAAAAATGTGGTAACTGCGGTGGAAATCACACAGCAAACTACAGAGGCTGTCCAGTCTATAAGGCGTTAAAAAACCGGATCAACCAACGCGTGGCTTCCATACGTACTCATAATGTACCGAATGCCTTTGTACCCTCCCAAACGAATCCTGACGTCTTCTTCGCCAAAAGAGCCACGTCGCCAACAGTTCTATCAAACACCGTCAAAGGCGTCTCGTTTGCAAGTGCCTTAAAATCAGGCTTAGAAAACCGTGCCCCTACAAAAACTGCACCTCAAGTTGCGCCGCAAGAACAGCATCCCCATGCACAATATGGTAAACAATCCAATATCGAAGCTATGATAGCGTCGATGCAACAAAGTATGATGAATTTCATGACTTTCATGCAAAACACAATGCAAGAACTCATGCGAAATCAAAATACGCTGCTCAACCTGCTTGCTACTCATCAAACAAGATAATGATCTTACTTAAAATAGCCCTCTGGAATGCAAATGACATTCCTCGCCACAAACTAGAGCTGTCAAAATTTCTTAAGGACAAGGAAATTGACATAATGCTCCTTGCTGAAACACACCTAACTAATAGATATAATTTTGACATTTCGGGATATACCTTTTATTGCACGAATCATCCAGATGGAAAGGCGCATGGCGGAACTGGTATTTTTGTCAGAAACCGGATTAAACACCATCATTTGACTGGAATTGCCGAGAATTATCTGCAAGCAACATCAATATGCGTACAAACAAAGCAAGGTGATATTACGCTGTCCGCGGTTTATTGTCCCCCACGTTTCACGATAACAGAAAAACAGTTTATGCATTTCTTCAGTTCGCTGGGAGAGCGCTTCCTTGCTGCAGGTGATTATAATGCGAAGCACCCTCACTGGGGCTCACGCTTGTCCAACCCTAAAGGCAAGCAATTATATAACGCGCTTATATGTAGAAGAAACAAACTCGATTACGCTTCTCCTGGAAAGCCTACATATTGGCCGGCAGACCCGCAAAAGTTGCCAGATTTGATTGACTTTGCGGTGACAAGGAAAATTCCTCGCGGCCTTATTAGTACAGAATCAGTTGCAGATCTCTCATCAGACCACTCACCTGTACTTTTCACCTTTTGGCATCAGCCGCAAGAAAAAGAGTCACCCTATATGCTCACGACAAGGGCTAGAAATTGGTTAAAGTATAAAATATATATCAGTGCGCATATAGACCTCGATCCAAATTTAGATACGCCGACCGATATTGAAAACTCCACAGCCGCTCTTGAATCTACACTTAGAGCAGCCGCTAGCATTTCCACACCCCAGAAAGGTTATGTGCAAAATAAAAAATATAATTTAACCAATAGGAAAATTGAAATGCTTGTCTTGGAAAAACGACGCCTACGACGGATATGGCAGACTCATAGATCACCAGCATCAAACCACTGCTCACGGCGGCCACACATGCACTGACGAGAGCCCTCAAGAACGAAGAACAGTACGCACAGTACCGGTACATCCAAAAGCTCTCACCGACTAGCACAAAGCACTCGTTATGGAAAGCACACCACAAGCTAAATGCGCCAATAGAGACTGAAATGCCAGTACGGGACCACAATGGCAAATGGGCTCGGAGTGACGCAGAAAAAGCAAACACCTTTGCTTCTCATCTAAAAAATGTTTTTAGGCCAAACCCCGCAACTAATAATTTTCAACTTCCACCCGTACCCAATGTGTCAAAATTTGAGCCGCTGAAATTTGTACCTGAAGAAATTTCAAAAGTAATTAAGGATCAACTGCAACCAAATAAGGCCCCAGGGCACGACTTAATAACCCCAAAAATGATTATTGAGCTACCAAATTGTGCTGTACTTTGCATCTGTATGCTATTTAACGCAATCACTAAACATTGTCATTTCCCTCACCAATGGAAAAAGTCGACTATTGTGATGATACCACAGCCCGGAAAGGACAAAACGCAGCCATCTTCATATAGGCCCATCAGCCTGCTACCGTGTATGTCGAAATTATTCGAAAAACTTCTTATGCTGCGCATCTCCCCACATCTGCAAGCCCGCAATATAATATCTCTTCACCAATTTGGCTTCAGGGAAAAACATGGAACAATCGAGCAGGTAAATCGCATAACAACCGAAATCCGAACAGCGTTTGAAAAGAGGGAATATTGCGCTGAAATATTTCTTGACGTCGCCCAGGCATTTGACCGCGTCTGGCTAGATGGTCTTATGTATAAAATACAAATGCTACTCCCACAAAGCACACACAAACTGCTTAAGTCATACCTTTATAATCGAAAGTTTGCAGTTCGATGTAACACCACCATTTCTGAAGCCCATGCAATCGAAGCTGGAGTGCCACAAGGCAGTGTCCTTGGCCCGATGTTGTATGTCTTATACACCGCGGATATTCCTACAAACGACCGCCTGATAATGTCCACTTTTGCCGATGACACTGCCGTAATCAGTCGCTCCAAGTGTCCTCTACAAGCAACTGTGCTCCTAGGCAATCATATGGAAGCTGTTGCCAATTGGCTCGCAAACTCGCGAATAAAGGTTAACGAGCAAAAATGTAAGCAAGTTACATTTACACTGAATAAGAGTAACTGTCCGCCCTTGACTTTAAACAACGTACAAATACCACAAAGCAATCATGTCACGTACCTAGGGGTCCACCTGGACAGGCGACTTACTTGGCGAAACCACATAGTGGCTAAAAGGGCTCATCTCAAGCTGAAGGCTAATTCTCTCCACTGGCTTATTAACTCTCGCTCACCCCTGAGTCTGGAGTATAAAGTGCTTATTTACAATACAGTTTTAAAACCGATATGGACCTATGGATGTGAGTTATGGGGAAACGCGAGCAGCAGCAACATCGAAATCCTTCGTCGTGCGCAATCTAAAATCCTTCGAACAATCACCGGAGCACCTTGGTATATGCGAAATGAGAACATTCACCGCGACTTAAGAATACCAGAAGTATGAACCGAAATAGAACAACGGAAGACGAAATATGTATCGAAGCTTTTAGCGCACCCAAATCATGTAGCAAGATCTTTATTGCGTGTCAACAGGACCTCAAGACTACGTAGGAATGACTTACCAGCCCATTCGTAATCTTTTCTTAGGGCCAGTTAAGAAAATACTCATCCCAACTAGGGGATGTAAATAAAGTGAATAGATTAAGATTCGAAAACTTATTGTTAGGCTCTTAGGCAGGGCAGATTCAATAAATAAAAAAAAATAATAAAAAAATTACTCTTAGTGTGTTCTATGCAATAAGTAGCATGAATTCAGTAGTTTTGCGATATGACAAGTAATTCAAGGAAATTAAGAACATGATAATTATGAATACAGATTGCAAAGTTTCTAGTGCTGTGCAGCCGTAGGTCGTTTCCGAAGTAATTTTCTGCGTAGAACTCCAACTCTATCTTAGAATTGCGCCAAGTTGTTGAGTTTTTTGCGTTTAATTTCACGAAAAACGGCTTTAATGGCTTATTTTGTTTGCTCTATGCTATTTAGTACTATTCTTACCCTTCAAATGTTAGATTCGAGGACTCGGCATTTGGTAGAATAATAGTAGTACTAGAAAAATAGGCGAAACAATTCCAATAGATTTCTTATTATTTAATCGGAAAATCTTCTTCTTTCAGCTTCTTATTTCGCTTCTTTTGAGTTCGTTCCTTTTTGAAATAATATAATTCTCGAGTTTTTTATTTTTCTATGTAATTCTTATATTCTCAGTTTATATAAGTTAGAAAAAATAACAGTTTTAACTATGGGACAATAACACGTTGAATAGCTTCCAATGTTGCTTGTAAAATGAGCCATATCTTTAACTAATTATAAAAAAAAGGTTACCTAAAAATTAAATTAGTTCAAAAGACTGTTACGTTACAAATAGCTTTCCACCGAAAACATATTGGTAATGAAGAGTATATGGAACTATTTTATTTTACTGTGAAATAAGGCCGAAAATGCTCGAAGAAAACTATACTTTCCCTTTTTTTAGTTTGGTGGATTCCACGCCAAAAAACTTTTTAATATTTTGGTCTGTTACATTACATTACAAAATACTGCCGACTTGATTTTCATATAGAAAGCTAATCGCTGATTTTTTTGTCGAAAACTTTTTTTTATTAAGTTCAAAATAATACAAGGCAAGCGAAGAGAGGCAAGTATAATGCAAAAAAGTGGTGGACCTTAAATATAAACTACCCGTTAGTTTTATGTTGTGCTTTTTTAATTTTCGTTTATTTAAAGGTGTCTCAAGACTAAGTGAATTTTACTGTTTGAGAGAAGGAGATTCGTGTTAATATTGATGTTATCCGATACCGTAGAATATGTATGACCCAGATATAATCCAAAATCTGCGAAACCTGAGAAAAAAATGTTTTCCCCTTGGTTTCGTTTTCGGCAATTTGGGCCATATATATCTATATATTTCATGATTCAATGATCGGATCTAAACCAAATTAGTATGGGACCACCTCTGAATTATCGAAATCGGTTGACGTGGTCCAAAGTTATGCGGTAACATACATAAAAAAAAAAAAAAAATATTCCGACGAACTGATAACCTCCTCCTTTTTTGGAAGTCGGTTAAAAACTGGAACACATCCCACCGAAAACCCTGCACATTAAATTTAAACCAAATATCTCGCTTAAAAGTAATCTTAGCATCGCATCAGAATGCTTCAGGAAAGTATGGCATAACAGTTTAGTTTCGACGTACATATGTCAAGTTAGCCCTACACTTTTCGAAATTTTAAAAGTTAACTACAGCATTTTTTTGTAGTTGTAAACATTTTTTTTCTTATTTTATTTTAAATTTTTAAAATAAAAAAAGAGCTTTCGTCTGTTAGAAAAAGATTGTATGTAGTAGAGATGGGCACGGGCCGGGCTTTCCACGGATACGGGCCGGAAAATTTGACTTCGAGCTCGTGCGTGCATATGCGTGCAGTGAATTTCCAACAAAGCACGAAAAAGTTCGGTAAATTAATAATAATAATAGATTGGCGCTTACACATATGTTAGGCTGGTATGGTCACTTGCGAATCGAATAAATTTGGCGAACACACCTAAAATTTGCATTGTGAATGGCGAATGAACTTTTTCGCCGGACATGCGTCGTTGCCATTCAAACAAATTAAATGAGTTCATCCTCATTTCACGTTTCTGTCATTTATACTTCGAATTATTTTTTATTACAAACTAAAATTTGAAAAGCAAAATGTTTTATAACGTAGATTTATATTTTGAGGATAGTTATAATGTTGAACCGCGAGCTAACCTTCTTCGTCAGCGGCGTTTTATTAGAGATTACTCTAATCCTATGGAGCTGCCGTCCACAGTGTAAGTATCCAGTGCAGATAGGTTATTCAATGAAACATGAAAAATTTATGCATATATGAATATGTATTTATAGATTTACAGCGAATTTTCGGCTAAGCAAGGACGCTTTTATGTATGTGCTGGACAAAATCAAGGACAAATTTAATTGCCGCCTGTCCTCGTCTGTAACGCCAATGCTAAAATTGTGTTGCGCACTGAGATTTTTTGCGCATGACAGTTATCAGCAAGCTGTAGGAAATGAATTTCAATTGGGTCTTGCGCAACCTACAGTTTCGCTCATTTTAAAGGAGGTATTGCCCATTTTAGAAAGAGAAATTTGCAGTGCTTCGATAATCACAGAAGTGACAGAAGAAGAGAAGCAACAGGCAAGGAGCAAATTTTTCTCCAGATCAGGAATACCCAACGTAATTGGCTGTGTTGACGGAACACATATTGCGATTTATGCCCCCACCGCAAATAGACACCTCTATCTAAATAGAAAAGGCTTTTTTAGTATAAATGCTATGATTGTAAGTTTTTAAGAAATGAATACAGCAACACTGATAAACAAATTGTATATTAAAGGCTTGCGATCATGACATGAATATCCGGTTTGTGGATGCTAGATATGCTGGTTCTACACATGATTCGTTCGTGTGGAACAATAGTTCATTAAAGAAAGACTTATTTGGAGAATATGCATCAAAGTGGCGATCATAACTCTATTTATTTAGGTACTTTAAATTTGTTACATCGGCACAAAATTAATGTAAATACTATTTTAAAACAAAAACTACTTATTTATAGGTGATTCCGGATACCCACTTAGTCCTTTACTAACACCCTTCCGCCATGCAGACTCTGGAACTAGGGAGTCAATTTTTGATAAGAAGCACGCGAAAGCTAGAAACGTCGTTGAACGTACGATCGGAGTTTTGAAATGTCGCTTTCGATGTCTCCTGAGTGATCGAAAAATGCGCTACGATCCTGCTAAAGCAACATCCATTATAAATATTTGTTGCGCTTTCCACAATATTTGTAAGAAATTTAGAATCAGTGATCCAGAGGAAGCTGAAATTTTTATTGACACCGTTGTATCATCAGAGCTAATCAGTGAAGATGCCAATAATACATCAGGAGAGCGCCGCAGAAGGCAAATAGCTGATGTTTTGTTGTAAAATTAATTGCAGTTCGGTTTATTGAATAAATTCAAAATCATTTACCTTACTTTTGTTCTTTTTATTTCATTTTATACTTCAGAATTCTTTATTATATAAATGTTAAATTAAACCTAATTGTTTCTATGCTCTTAAACTTAATAAAAATCACAAGTTGAATTCAGTACCTTCATCCAATATTAAACTTAAAATTAATTCATCACATGCTTTTATATATTAAAATGAAAAATCACAAATTAAATTCAGCCGTTAAAAAAATATTAAACTTAAAACTAGTTCATCACATTTTTTTATAAATAAAAATAAAAAAATCACAAATTCAATCAACATAAAGAAAAGATGGATATGAATCTAAAGAGTAGGAACTACCCAAGATGGAAAAACAAAAAGTGTTGTATATCCAAATGTGTTGGATTAAGATTTAAAATAAAGAATCAAAAATTTTGAAATAAAACAAATGATAAATTTTCATATAGAAAAATTCCAGGACTTTTCATTCGTTTTTCAATATTTGGTGTAGAGAAGCACACCGGGGTACTGCTAGTATAAATATGTAAGTATACACGCAAACATTTTCTATAATTACTGGTATAGAAAAACAATGAACTCTGAAAAGAATTAATATTTTATTCAACAAAAAAACTTTTTGTGTAACACATAAAGCATATTAAGTGCCACCAACTTACCTATTTTAAAGTATAGTTAAATCGTTAACGGATAAGATAACGGCCCAGAAACGTAAGGAACATACATAGACATATGTTTACTTGCCTTAAAGGAAAGGCGTTCGCTTTATGAGCGAAGAGTTAAATTCATGAAAATCATAAACAAAATTTGAATGTCAATGATGAATAAATTTCGAAAAGGGCTAAAAAAAAGGGCTAGGGGCAATTTCAAATTTTTGTGGCCAAAAAAAGAATTTGGTAGCCAAATTTAGCCACCAAAGGGCTAAAACGGCAACACTGCTGAAAACATCAGTACTGCAACGTTATGTGTGCTTTTGCACAAGCGGAAAGAACTTCTTGAGATGTTTTTTTATTGATTTTTTTCTCATATCAAACAAACTTCATAAGTTCTCACTTAAAAGGGTTAACAGAAAAGACAAATGAAAGAAAAAATTATGATAATAAGGCTGTGTGCGAGTTGACCTAAATTTTAGTACCTACACTAATATTCCACTGGAAATTTCCAGCACTGCTACAATTTAGGAAAACAGCTGCTAAAATCGTGCGAGTTCGTTTGACAACCTAAATTGTTTGTTTTGGAATTTGAATTTGTTTGCTTTTAATAAATATATCTATAAAATGAATAATTTTGTGGTAGCTTTGGGACTATTTAACAATATAATAAATTTGCAACAGAAACGGAGAATGCTCCATCCATCGAATTACACATATACTTATCTGAATGCAAAAATCAAATAAATTTATACTTACATCTTTCTGAATATTTTCTTTTTTGTGCCCTAGCAATGATAAAAATTATTTAAAACATCAAAAAATCGTTGTTCACTTAATCGCTCGCTAAGATATATTTGACTGTTCAATTTAGGTTGCTCGCAGAAAATCTAAATTGTTCCTATTCACTGCGTTACCGACACTTTCCAGTGATTTAGGATTTTTCTCTATTTAGGTAGCAATTTAGACGTACTCGCACACAGCCTAAATTACCAAATAAGTGGTACCGAAATAGAATTGTTGGCTGGCACACTTTATATTATTTTACTATGCTTATGGTCGCCATTTCAGTACCTTCCGAAAACTTGTTTCGAAAGCTTATCAAAAGACCAAAAAAACTAGGATTTGTAACTATTTAAATCAATAAATACATTTCACTGTGAGTTAATACTTCAACATTTATCGAAACTGGTGATATTTTCATTCGATGTTTTTATACGAACATCGATATGAATCGCTGCTATATTTCGATGCATCAAATGGAAAAAACTTCGATGTATTTTTTTGACTTGCATCCCTAACCTGCTTCGTCTAACTTAGGGTTTACACCGGACAATACTGTCATGGCAATAATGTCAAAATGATGTGTTTGTTGTAATATGAATTCGCCTTGTTTACAACAAACACATCATTTTGACATTATTGTCCGGTGTAAACCCTAAGTAACGTTTGCATTAGGGATGTCAGTGGCAAAAATACATCGATGTTTTTCTTTGATTCGATGCATCGAAATGTACATCGATATTTTCCGATGCATCGAAGGGCATACATCGATGCATCGATTTGCATAGGATTTTTCAGATAATGTTTCACAACAAATTAGGAGCGTTCCTTATCTCCCAGAAATAGTCAGAAAAAGTCCGAAATAGTCAGATTTAGTCCAGAAAGCGTTCCTTAACTCGGAAATGACTGCAACAATGAGAGAGCAACAGTCAGTGAGAGTGACTCTCATCAGTCCGAAGTAGTCAGATTTAGTCAGAAGAATTTTTTCTGGCAAAATCCTGAAAAGTGTCAAACTCAACTGAATTTAAATTAACGGAAATTAAAGAATACGCAAAAAGTGAGAATAATCTAAAAAATAAAAGAAAAAGAATTGAAATTGGAAGGAGGCAAAAAATAATTGATATAGTAAGTGTTTATTGTGCTAGTGCTTGTGTGAATGTGTTTTGTACATACATTTCTGTTCTTATTTGACGTTATATTTGTTGTTGCCATTCTTTGGACTAAAAATTTGGGGTTTTGCGTTCCTATACTTTTCCTGTTATTCTCTTTTAGTGAGCGCATTTTGCTTACGCTCTGGCATTTTGACACTTTTCAGATTTTAGTCCAAAAAGATAAGGAATGAACCTAATATGTTATTAGCAAAATTCTACAAAATTTTAAATAAATTCCTGCAACTGAGCTAATTATGTTTCTAACGGAACTTTTTGGAGCCGTTTCAATTTTGTGGTCAAAGTCGAACGAGGGTTCATGTACTAGAGATGTCAGTTTTCAAAAAACATCGATGCATACATGCATACATCGACTATTTATACATCGCGTGGAAAATTTTCGATGCATCGAAGCAAAACATCGATATTTTCGATGTATCGAGTTTGCATGCAACCAAATAAAATTTGTTGCTTTTCTACTTTCTGTTGACGCTCGGATTGTATACGTGTAAGAGCCGATTGTGTGCATGTAAAAAGTCTAATATATATAGTTCGTTTCCCAGGAAAGTGTTTGGCAGGCATTGATTTAGATACTTAATAGCACCAGGAGGTACTCGCCCAGCTCTTTCTGGAAGAACCTTTCGACGAAGTAAGGTTTTCTCCGTTTTAACCAGTAAGTATTTTTGTACATTATGTACAAATTTTGATATGGGTTTTTAAAATTTGATTTTTTATGTTGCAGCAAAAGTAAGTGGTGGGTTACGCATGACCAAATTTTTGTGGACCAAAATCTGGAAATTTTTAGCGCATCGAATCCGAACATACAATTTTGTTTTTTAGAATAAAAATACATTTTTTAATACAGTTTAATTTTAGACCAAACAAAGAGAAAAATTATGGAAAAAGTATATTCACACAATAGACATATACGGAGGCGAGAATGTAAATAGGGAAGTCATCTTGATAAGTTTTGGCTACTTTTCTTTGTTTACAAAATGTTTATTATTCTTTTATATCTAAAAAAAACTTGTATATCAAAATGTCAAACTTTGTAGAACATTTACAAAAATCTTACGAATTTTAACAAATACTGATCAAAATTTAACTTTTTAATCAGATTTTAGCCCATTAAATTTTAGGATTAAAAAGGGCAAGTTCGAACTTTTTGGCAATTTTTTGTTCGCATTTTCTTACGTACAAAGTATGTTCGAAATTTTTTTCGTATGCAGAAAATGAGCAACATCTTCCACAAAAAAACTCCAAAAATCAACGGTACTAGCTAGTTAAAATTAACGCTCCATAATAAAATGGAATGGGCTACAAAACTGCATACTCAGAATTTTTCTAATTTTTATACATAGTTTGATTTACATGTTTTTGTTATATAGCGAGGTACACTACAAATAATGCTAAAATGTCTCTTCCCTATTTACATATATTTTTGCCACTGTATCTACAGCTTATATTTTTCATATCCATGAATTTTTTGAAGGAATTTGTAACATTTTTCAAAATTTCACTGAATTCAAGTTAGTCGTTTCATTTAAAAAAAAAACTTTAAAAACAACTATTAAAATTTTGTAACATTTTTTAAAATTTCACTGAATTCAAGTTAGTCGTTTCATTAAAATAAAACTTTACAAACAATTATTAAAAGCTTAAGAAAAATTTGGCTAGAATGATTACTGCAATATAGCGAGAGTACCAGTTTGACAGAATAAAAATAACCAAAGATCATAGAAAATAAGGATGCTGGGCTATGTTTGTGGCTCCCCTATATTCTATGTTCTTTGTGATAACGAAAATTCTGCCACGTTTGTACGAACAATTGTTTTTGGTCCAGAGTACCGGAGGACTCTTGTTAAATTAATAAATAAATCACTGAAAATCGGGATTTAATCGGTACAAATATGAAAAATCAGGACACTTATACGTACCTACTTTTAAAAAATAGTCAGCGGGACAATTTTCTCAAAATCGGTACTGTCCCGCCAAAATCGGCACGAATGGTCGCCGTATACATACATAACTTCATATTACTAAAAAATCGCCTGTTTTTATTCCATTTGGATAGAGTATTGAACCCTATGAATTGTTTAGAAGCGGTTGCGGTGGTGGTGTAGCAAAAGTAAGTGGGTTTTATTTATATATATGTGCATGTACATACATAATTTCATATTGGGAACAACAGGTCCGACGAGAGGGAGGGGGAAAAGGGGTGAATCCCCCGGGCCCGAATTATCAGAACCATAACTTGTTATTATTTTATTTACAATGTATTTTCTCCTTCATTATAGGCTTTTATTATAAATATATTCCGATTCGAGCTGATTGTTTCTGACCACTGTTACCAACTTGGTGCTTTTCGCACTAAATTTAGTGCTTTCCTTTATTCAAAACCTTCTTCTTTGCACTCACGTATTTCGGCCTCTCTCGTCTTATTGCTGCAAATACGTCTCGCTTCCTTCTTCAGTTCCCTATAACGGTCCCACATGGCTCGCGTTGCGCCCGGTCGCAGCGTGGCCCTATAGGCGGCCTCTTTTTTCTCTGCGGCTTCTTGACATTCCTCATCGTACCAGTTTTTCTT